CTCAGAGTGGTACCGACTTACCAGATGGGCGGGATACAAATCAAATAAATAAAAAATAAATAAATAATAAATGTCCCGCCTCTACTAACGGTCGCTCCCCCACCCTTGTTCCCGCCTTTTCTACCCTTGTCTGGGTGGCCACCGACAGTCTCTTCAAGCCCTGCTCCAAGTCACAGGTATCTATACCCTAGTACCTCACCGCGACGCGGGTAGCCGTAGATTCCATTTGGGTCTCCTTCTCTCTCTTAAAGGAGGATGGCACTCCAGCAAGTGCTTCTATAGCCGTGCCTCAGGTCTCACAGTTACTTAGTCCTGTCAGGGAAGTGGATTAAAATATTGTCATTTGCCCTGCTTGGTGGGTGGCCTTGGTAGCCAGATAGGTGGTATAGAAATTAAATACATATACAGTACATAGGTTTGTTCCAGGATCACAGGTGACCTCAACCTAGGCTGGCATGTTCTTTGCGTTCAGGGACTGGTTCTCTTTCCCCAGGACCTACTTTTCTGTTCCTGGGAATGGGGGCGGGGGGCTTGCTATTGATGGAAAGAACTTCGAAAAATTAAAATGGGAAGTGGCTGGAGATCCACTTCTGATTTTGCTGTTTGGAAGTGTGTGTTTGTGTATACAAAACAGCTTCTGCCAGAGGCCTCAAGGAATGGTAAATTGGGGTGGGGGGTGGGGAACACAAGTTTTTCAGGAGAGTCCTTGGGAAGGGAGTTCAAAAAGCCCCTGGGGCCATACCATATTCAGCCCATGTGCCAGAGTCTTCTTCCCTTCCCCGAAGGCAGCTAGAAAAAACGACCTTGGAATGATTGAGGCATCCTTTTTTTAAGTGGCAGGCTCTTGCGTGCCAGTGCCTCCTCCCATTTATATGACATTTTCCCTGTTCTCCAATGGCCTGCAGCTCTCCGACACTTGAAGAGAGGATACTTGTTCATGTACAACCTCGTTCAGTTCCTGGGCTTCTCCTGGATCTTCGTGAACATGACCGTTCGGCTGTTCATGCTGGGAAAAGGCAAGTGGTGCTGGTTCTTCCTCCTTGTCTTTACAAGCAGGTTCTCTACTGCTGCCAGAATGGATCCCTTGGTTTGGGTTAAAGGGCTGGATGCTTGGGCCAGAGGGCAGCCTTGATATGGGGACAGACCTGAACTCCAGCGGCGAGAGAGTGTCCTTTCCGAGCAGAATGTGTGCCTGGTCCAGCCTCTGACTGGTCTTGTTAAAAGCCTCCCTGGCTTTCTTGGTATGAGAAAAACTCATCTGTCAGTTGACTGAGCGGAACCACGCTATGAATATGTGCTATGAATATTTTAGCTAAAGATGCTTTCTGAACTGCGTGAGAACAAAAGAGCTCAGATGGATTAGACCAGGGTGTGTGTGTCTGTCTGTCTGTCTAGTGCACCATTATGTGTTTCCAGAGTGGCCAGAGATTTGCCTTTGGAAAGCTTGCAAACGGAAAGTGGGGCATGACAGAATCTTCTGTCTCACATCCCCCAGCAACGGATACCCAGAAGCCAACGGCTTCCCACACTAATGGTGGTGATATATAGTTATCCACGTTAGGAGACATCCTTTGAGATCTTTTGGTTTGGATTCCTCCGTTGAAGAGGAGGTTGGACTCGATAGCCTTCTAGCCCCCTTTCCACTCCATTATGTTATGATTACAGTCAACCCTCGACCTACGAACGTCCCTACATACAAACTTTTCGATTTACGAATGGCTCCGTTTGCAAAAACTGGCATCGACTTGTGAACGGAGCCTCGACCTACGAACGAAAAAAAGGCAGAAGAAAAGGGTGGAAAATTCAAATTTCCCCTGCCTTTTTTTCATTCCATTCAAACCATTGGTGGTGAAGAGGCTGCTTTGGAGCACCTTCAGAGGTCTCCAGAGGCCTCCTGGGGGTCTGATGACAGCAGCGGGGGACCCCAAGGAGGTCTCCGATTGTGCCTTCGGAGGTCTCCGGAGACGAACTTGGGGGCCAATTGCAGTGGGCGGGGGGCTTCCTCCGATGTCGGGGGGAAAGCCCTTTGAGACCTCCAAAGGTAATTTTTTAAAATGCTGGAACAGATTAATTCCATTCCCATGCATTTCAGTGGAAAATGGTACTTCGACTTACGAACTTTTCGACGTACGAACGCCATTCCAAAATGGATTAAGTTCGTAAGTCAAGGTACTATTGTATTCTATGATTTTATGACATTGGTAGCCCAAGCTTCATTTAACTGCCTTTTAAAGCTACCCAAACTGGAAGCCGTCTCTGGTGGCAGTGACTTTGTACTTTGACTATGTGCTAGAGCAGTGGTTCTCAACCTCTTGGGTCCCCAGATGTTCTCGGACTGCCACTCCCTGCCAGCACAGTGAGTGGTGAAGACATCTGGGAGTTTTAGTCCAAGAACATCTGGAAACCCAAGGTTGGGAAGTACTGTAGATGATGATGATGCATTTTCTCTCTTGCACCTCCCACCGTTCAGCTCGAGTGGATTACCCTGAATATTTTCATTTTAAAAAATAATGTCCACAGCTCCTCCTGTGCTATGAATATTTTAGCTAAAGATGCTGGCAAGGAAAAAAGACAAATTACTCCCCATAACCCTGGCATCTGAAGGACCATTGAATGACTGTGGGGCAGGAGTTGTTGATCTCTGGTGCAGTGGGCTCTTTTTCTTACTACAGATGCTGAATAAGCCTAGAGCTGACAGTCAAGCTGATGGGGATTCAGGAGTTGGCTGCCATTTCTGGATGGGGTGGCCAAGATCTGAGCCAGCTTCCAGCTGGGCCTTATACTTTCAGTGAAAGCCTCTTGCAGTCTTGTGCCAAAGGAGGGGAACCGTACCTGAGCAGTTGGCTCATTTTGGAGGTTGAGGTGGCGAGCCTGGTGATCTTGGACTGTAACTGCCACAAGCCCCGAGGCATGCTGTAGACTCTTGGCAGCTGCCTCTAAGGCTACTGGAGTTGTTGCTGACATCAATTATAGAACCAAGGTGGGGTTTCCTTTGGGTAACCATAATTTTTAAAAGAAGGTTTGTGCTCCTTTCTCTTTGGAGAGGGGATGTCTGCACCAGGTTAATGCTGTTATCACCACATAAATGGTAACAAGTCACATTTCTGGTTTCCAGTGTTTAACTAACTTTATTTTCAGACCGAACACACCAAACTCTGTTAGGGCATATATGCAAAATAAGTAGGAAATGATTGTTATTAAAATATTAAAATTACTTGTCAGATAATTACTATAAACTGAAAGTAAAGCATCTTGATAATATGATAGGTGAAAGTCTAGGTGCTACATTGCTTGGAGGCTTGGCAAGGGCAACAGGCCAGGCAGAATGACTTTCTTGTTGCAGCTTTTCATTGACAAGGTTTTGTTTTGAAAAATTGTCTGTGCTTTTGGGTTTGAAGAATTTCTGACTCATGGAGAGATCTTGGCTCACTTTTCCCTCTCCTTACTAAACAGGGCTCTGCAATCGCTAGCTGCTCTAACATTAAAAACTCCCCTTTCTCTAAAAATCTGATTTATCTCCAGCATCAGGGGTTGGCTGAAACATTACTGCAAATTTGCCTTGGAGGACTGGATTCAGTCATGGGGTTCTTGGGATGCTGACCTTTCTTTCTGAGAAGTACCTGCTGGAGTTCAGCCCAGTGAGGTTTCCCTTTGTTGTCAGACAAGTGTTTAAACTGAATTTTGCTTCTCCTTCCAGACTCTTTCTTCGATACTTTTCACACAAGTGCAGACATGATGTACTTCTGCCATATGCTGGCCTGCATGGAAGTTGTGAACACCTTTATAGGTCTGGTCAGAGCTCCTCTCACGCCAGTTGTTTTGCAGGTAAGATCTCCTCAAGACAGCTGGGGCAGTTGGGGGACAGTGGCTTTTTAACGGGCACCGTATTTTGAACTCGGCAAGGACCAAAAGGTGGGTACCTGGTGACTCACTCCTAGAGAAGACATAGGTAGATATTTTCACCCATTTTGGAGCGTAAAATGCAAGAGAGGCTTTAATAGAGCCCTCCCCTCATTGGGTACAGTTTCCTTGAGGTTTGGCTTCTGCATCCGGTTGGGTGCTGAAATTCATAATAAAAGTGAATTTGGCTTTTGGGTGAAAGAGAAGACTGGCTAAACTTTTGTCTGAATTTCAGCCTGGGGAAAAAATAGGTGGGATAATGATTATTATAGTGTTTTAGGAAAGGGAGCGATTCTTGGGATCAGAGAGGCCTTTAGGGAAACCTGTTAGGGCAAAAGGCTATTCCTGTTGTTTCTTCACACACGGGGAGTAAGCATGATTCATGGTCACCCATCCAGGAAAAAAGGCTGCCATGCTGTGGTGGACGTGCTGGCTTGTCTCTCCCCACCCGTTTCCCCACTGATCATCCAGTGGTAGCCCACAGCACGTTGGGAAAAGGGTTCAAAGGAAAGCCTCTCTGGAACCAAGAGCTCGGCTCCTTCCATCTCTTGCCAGCTGTCCTGGGTGGTGAGGCATTGATGGGCCTGAAGCAGTGGGGGGGGGGGAGCTGTTCTGTCGCTTCCGTGCAGTGCCTCCTGCTCTGCTTTGGCAGAAAGGGGACGATGGGATCATTTTGTTCTGGGAAACCTGGCCTCTGGTGGGTGCCTTGACTGGGCTTCTGGCCGGCTCCCACCCTTACGCAGAGTTTGCACCTCGTGGGACTTTTCCTTCTGAGGCACAGCCCAGCCTCTCTCTCTGTCTCTCTCTTCACCCTTCTCTTCTCAGGTTGGTGGGAGGAACTTTGTTTTGTTCATCGTCCTGGGAAGTGTGGAGGAAATGCACAGCAAAGCGGTGGTGTTCTTCATCTTCTACCTCTGGAGCCTCATTGAAATATTCAGGTACTGGGGTGGGGGTGGGGAATACGGCTTCGTGTCCTGCTGTGTATCGGTTTGGGTTATTGTCACTTCTGGAATCACTGGGTTTCCTCTCACCATCACTTGTTGGCGGTCCCCTCACCCTCTTTTCCGCCTTCAAATCTGTCTGCCAAATCTGCCCTCTTTTCTGCGAAGCCTCGGCACAGCCGTACTGGGGGCTGGGTTGGGGAGCAGCTGATAGCAGGCGTGTTCTGTACCCCAGAGGTCTACCCGATGTCTCTGGGTAGAACTAAGAAAGAGTGTGTGTACTGAAACCTGGAGGGTTGCTGCCAGTTGTGAATGGACAACACCAAGTGTTACCTTTGCTCTTTCCCTTTCCTGCTGATGTCATCTGGTCAGATCATCACTGACTCCTCCTATGGATTCCTTCCTAGGTATCCATTCTATATGCTTTCCTGCATTGATGTAGAATGGAAGGTTCTCACCTGGATTCGCTACAGCATCTGGATACCCCTCTACCCTCTGGGCATCTTAGCAGAAGGTAAGTGGCAGACCGTTTTCCCCATTCACTCGTCTTGCAGTTGGTATTGCCCAGTGTGAGTTCGGAGCTGAGAAACAATCTGGGCTACGAATCTCAATAAATAATTTTCCTGGCCTGGATTGTAGCACTCTTGTCTTTTCTTTATGAGCCCTCTAACTCTGTACAACATTTGAGGACTGTGCCCTATATCAGAAGTAGGCATCTTGTTAAAAAGGATGTAAAAGTGCCCAGATGGGTGCTTCCGATTTTGTTGTGCGTGTACTATGTGTGTGTCCTTTTAATATAAAGGTATTGGGGGGAGGAATCAGGATAGGGTACCTCACGATCCTACTAAACACGATCCACCTGGAGCAGGAACTGGAAAGTCACTCCAGTATCCTTGCCCAGAAAACCCCATGAACAGAAACAAAAGGTTAAAAGATATGATGCTGGAAGATGAGCCCCTCAGGCCGGAAGGCGTCCAACATGCTACTGAGGAAGAGCAGAGGACAAGTACAAGTAGCTCCAGAGCTAATGAAGTGGTTGGGCCAAAGCCAAAAGCCCGCTCAGCTGTGGATGCACCTGGAAATGAAAGGAAAGTCCGATGCTGCAAAGAAAAATACTGCATAGAAACCTGGAGTGTGAGATCTATGAACCTTGGTCAATTGGATTTGGTCAAACAGGAGATGGCAAGAATAAACATTGACATCCTGGGCATTAGTGAACTAAAATGGACGGGAATGGCCGAATTCAATTCAGATGATTATCATATCTACTATTGTGGGCAAGAATCCTGCAGAAGAAATGGAGTAGCCCTCATAGTCAACAAAAGAGTGGGAAAAGCTGTACTGGGATATAATCTCAAAAATGATAGAATGATTTGAATACAAATCCAAGGCAGACCTTTCAACATCACAGTAATTGAAGTTTATGCACCAACCACCAATACTGAAGAGGTTGAAATTGACGAATTCTATAAAGACTTACAACACATTCTTGAACTGACACCAAAGAAAGATGTTCTTCTCATTATAG